AAAAAAATGCCCAGAACAAATTTGGTCCATCCTTGAGCAAATGAGATTTTTTGTAAACTGGTTTATCTTGCTACTCTCTGAATTTATATTAATGTTATTGTGAGCTTAGGTCTATAGATTTGTCGAAATGTTCACAAATGTACTGGTAAATGGTTAATTGCACGTTGACATGTAGGCTTGAAGTATTGTAGACTTATCTTTGATCAATATTGCATTTTAGCTTTAGAGAATTGATTGAAATCAAATGATTTTTTTTGGGTAGAGGTGAGCTTGCTCTGTAGACTAGGTTTTTGAATTGAATTTTGTTGGCTTGATTGTAATAGTTTGTTTAGCCAAATTTAGGTGGTCATCAACCAATGCTTTGTACTTAATGAAGTTTCTTTTTCCCCTCCTCTTTGTATCCAATCCTCTTTACTCATGGCCAATTTATTGTCAGATAACATTCTTGCAAATTGGGCAAGAAAAGCTTAGCATACTTGATGAACTTAATTATGATAATTTTTTTGTGGTTTTAAGTTTTGGATTTCGAGTTCTTCATGTCCTATGCTTTGTGTCTTAATAGGCTTGATTGACCTGTTCTATCTATATAGATGATGAAATGAGTTCATTTCATCATATTATTTTTGCTTTGGTGGACTTGATGAAGGATGTGCACCATTAACCAAGGCATTAATGTTTGGTCAATGACAATGTTATTGGTCTGAAGCTTGATACCCAAATGGAAATTTTGTCATCAATTTCATTACTTTAGCCTTGGCCCTCTAAGAACATCGGATTTATTACATCAATTCTATTTAATGATTTCATAAACTTGTTAAAAAACAGAAATGTTAGGTATTTTTTTAATTCGTGACACATTTGAAAGAATTTAAACATATTTTAGTTTGACAATGATACTAACTCAACAATTATTTGTTCTTATGCTTTATTTATTGAGCATGTTCTCTTTGGTTTTGCCTTGACTTGTTGCCCAATTGAGATTATTTATTTATTTTTATTTTTTA